CTATATCCACTAAACAAGATCTCCTCTTTCCCCTCCCCTCAGCCCCTGGTAACTACCGTTTACTTTACTTTTGTCTCTATGAATTTCACTACTATGGGTACCTCATCTAAGTGGAATCATATATTATTTGTTTTTGTGGTGGCATATTACACTTAGCATAAATGTATTCAGTTGTAGCCTGTGGCAAGACTTGTTTTTAAACCTGAATAATATTTCATTGTATGTACATATTACATTTTCCTTATCCATTCATCCATCAGTGGGCATTTGAGTTACTTCCACTTTTTTTTTTCTATTGTGAATAATGCTGCTATGAACATGGGAGTGCAAATATCTCTTCAAGACCCTGCTTTCTATTCTTTTGGGTTCATACCCAGAAGTGGGATTGCTGAATTACATAGTAGTTCTGTTTTCCAGTTTTTGAGGAACGTCCATACTGTTTTCCAGAGCAATAGCACCATTTTATAATCCCACCAACAGTGCACAAGGATTCTAATTTCTCTTCATTCTCACCAGAACTTGTTTGTTTTTTATTGGTGGTGTGAGGTGATAACTTACTGTGGTTTTGATTTGCATTTCTGTGATGATTAGTGATGTTGAACATCTTTTCCTATGCTTGTTGGTTATTTGTATATCATCTTTGGAGAAATGCCTGTTCAAGTCTTTTGCCCATTTTTAAATCATGTTATTTGATATTTTTGTTGTCGTTGTAGGAGTTCTATATACTGAATGTTAATTAACCCTTCATCAGATATATGATTTGCAAATATTCCCATTCCGTAAATTGACTTTTCACTCTATTGATTGTGTCCCTTGATGTGCAAAAGTTTTTAAGGATGTCCCATTTGTCTTTTTTGCTTTTATTTTCTGTGCTTTTGGTGTCATATCCAAGAAATCATTTACAAGTTAAATATCACGAAGCTTTCCTCCTATGTTTTCTTCTAAGAATTTTATGGTTTTGGGTCTTATGTATAGGTCTTTGATCCAATTTTAGTTAATTTTTATATATGGTATAATGTAAGGATCCAAATTTATTCTTCTGCACATGGATATCTAGTTTTAATGTGTTGTTGAATTCAGTTTGCTGGTATTTTGTTGAGGATCTTTGCATCAGTATTCATCAGTGTATTGGTCTGTACTTTTCTTGTTATGTCTTATCTGGCTGTGGTATATTCAAGAGACAGTGGAAACTTCTTTCACCTCATTTCTGCATCCGGAAGGAATTTTTATGCACTCAGAAATGTAATCCTGCCATCAGCTCTGAAAATGGTGATTTTTAATTTCATCATGTCTTCTGCATTTACTAGCTGTGGTTCTTTTACAAAGCACTCTCCTCATCAAATGTTTAGTTACTCTGAAAAACTCTATAGCAAAGGCAAGACAGACGCTAAATTCTTCTTTATTCATCAGATTTCAGAATAGTGAGATGCTACCCCAACAATATCCAAGGATGACCAATAAGCTTTTTTGGGGGATGGGAGGGAGTCTTATGAATTTAGCTATATTTATATATCTGATGTTTTTCAATCAGTTGAAGTGATAAATCTTTTGATACTTAAAATATCCCATCTTTGCCAGTTGAAGCCCTT